CATGTGATAAAAATAAAAATAAAAATTGTAGGGAACACATAACACACCTATCAAGAGGGCGAATTTAGAAACATTAAACAGCAGAAAATGGGAGATCACTGTCAGAAAAAACCACAGCACGAACTGGTCAAGTCCTTGCCTGATCGCATTGTAGTGAGTAAGGTACAGTATTTTGAGGTACAAAGTACAGTATCCCTTAACATGGAGTCTTATGGGAACTACAGCAAAAAGTACAACGATCATGTACCTCACCACTACAAACATACCGTGCTTTTGCTGTACTTTGGTACAGTTTTTTTGACAGTGATGAATAGATGGAAGACCTTTCTGTGGCGAAATCTTATAAGGCGGCTCTTTGTGTCGAGCGAGGCGGCCGTCTTGAGACCGCGGGGCCGGGATACTTTACATAGAGAGGATATAGTGATTGATATTGTCAAGGATTTCGTGAGTTTAGTACGCCCTGAAACACCTCGGAGGTACGATATCTGCTTCTTAAACCCATTAGTATCAAACTCGCTTAGCCTACACTGAGAGAATGCCGTGTCCGGTGAGTCACAATGTATATGACATGATGGAGGGACCCCAAACACAAGACACACACACACATGCTTCCCATTAGGCCAGTTTATAGCTTTATTACGATATGGGTGGCTATTGTCCAGTCCAGCACAAAACAGGCGTCTGTACACACACAGACACACACCGACTGGTCTCTCTCTTTCTCTCTGCCGCATCGCCACACAGGGAGCAGCAGGGAGGTGGGGCGCAGCGGCTCCTAGCCCCCTGCCCTAACAGCAGAGCGCGGGAAACAACTTCAAGGTAGGGCGGATTCAAAGTCAAACGCCTCCGCGATATAGACGGGGGCTCTGCTGATAAGGAACTGGTACACTAAGGCCACTAGAGGCCCGACCTAACCCGACAACCCGACCACAGCCACGCATCAAGCCATTAGACACCAAATTTGAAAAAGCAGGCAGAAGGAGATGGCCGCCACGTCCCCTTCGGTCCCCTCTCACTTCCTCTCCGGACCGCGGAGAATCGAGTGTCGGTGAAAACGGTGGCTCCGGCTCCGGCGGGTAGCACAGCTGAAATTAGATGATGTTTGAGATCGAGACAACGTGAGCGCGTGTGTGGGTGTGTGCAAAGGGGGAGGGGGCAGTAATCCAACAGTCTGCAGTTAAAATAATCCCCCTGTATTCCAGAAAGCAATGCACATCCAGGCTCGACACCTGTCCAGCAGGCTGCTGCCGCTGGTGATGAGACGAGGTGCTCGCTGGCGCGCTAAGGCGACGCGGCGGCCGTCCAGGTGCTAAAAGCCGCCCCTGCGAGGACTGCTTACCTGTGCGGCGTGCACCCTGGGGTGCATTCGCGCTGGAACCCCCCCCCCCCTTTTCCCCTAAAAAAAGCACCGGAATAAAATGAAAGAAAACTACTGTCGGAGTTTGGCGCCACGGCGCAGCAGACAACTAACGGGGCGGAAGCGGACCGCTGTAAAGTGATGTCAATCGGCGGAGGAGACTAATGTTATGCAATAAGGAGGCGACCGGCGGCAGGAAGAGGCGAGGTAGGACAACGGACCGTAAAGGGGCAGTTGACGCACCCCGAGGCAGCCGGAAACCGCACAGAGTGGAGCAAGCAGGCTGCACTGCACATCGAATACGTTCGAGAAATATATCTTAAGACTTTACTGGAAAATTTGATAAATTCAATTGATTCAAACACTGACGTCACAAAGACGTCAAATTCAATCCAACCAAATGTCAATTGTGTAACATTGCTTAAATAA